GACTGTTACCATGGCTTCGATTGGATAGTCTTCAGTCGTTGGATAATAACCGGGTAATAGTTTTAAATTCTGGGAATTTTCTTAAACAAAGTTGTTTTTTCAGATTGTTTCTGTTAGACATGGATTGGGATGGCAGAAAGGATGTACACACAAAGAGAACATTGATGAAAGGCCTTCATTTCCCCAGAATATCTTTGAGGAAATCTTACTAGGTGTTTCCTGAAGAAGTCAATTCCTCTTTTCCTCTTCTATTGTCTCTGTAGTAACTGATTCGGCCCGTTTTGCTCCCTTCAGTCTAGTTGGTCCGCTTCAGAACGGATGGAACGGTCCACAATAATATGTTATGTTTTGAAATGTATTCTATTTGGACTACTGAATCCATTATGGTTCCTTTTCTCATTTGCTTTTGAGTTTTACACCCATCTTCACCCAAGTGGACTAACTCATTTCACTTTTTTTCACACTTTCGTTGGCGCAACTTTACTATTTGTACCGGTTGCTAATGAAACAGAACAAGCAGATTTGCTTTTTGTTCACTTACACCTTGTCGTCATTTTCGTCGTAGTGTTTTATCATCAGCTGCTTTGAAAGAGGCAAAGCTCAAAAATTGAAACATGTGATTTTGGGATTTTTCGTGGTGTTACTTTCGGTTTGGACATTATTTGGATGTATAATAGCAATAGGATTCAGATACAAAGTACCGGTAAGTATTCACATTACATGACATAACTAACAACTAATTATAATTTCAGGTTTTCGGTTTAATTTACTTTCTGACGCTTTGTTCTTTACTAGCATCCTGGTTTTTGCTTTGCAATGTCTGGTCGGATCTTTATTTGATACTTCCTTCCGACAATCAACCGTTTTTTGGAATCAAAAGATATGTCGCCTTGGTTGACTTGCTGCAGCAATGGCCATATGGCAAATAATCATTTGCTGCCAGATCATTTGCTACCGGATCATTTGCTACCGGTGATCAATTGCTACCAGTTATCATTTGCTACCAAATGACCATTTGCTACCGGTGGTATGTCGCTACTAAATTAACTGCTATCAAACAAGGAGCCTGATGTTGAACATAAACTGGCAAATGGTCAATAGGATGGGATCTGACAAGTTGATAGTTAGGAACAATTGCTATATGTCTAGTTGATATGACACAGTTTCTATATTTTCTCTCAGAAATATTCAGATTCTGAAATTCTGAAATCCTTCATATATTATGAGATTTGGAAATTCTCAGACTCCGAAATTCTGAAGTTCCGAAATTCTTAGATTCCGAAATTCTGAAATTCCAAAGTTCTGAAACGCTAAGAATTCTGAGATTTTCAAGCTCTGAAATTCAGAAATTCAGAAACTCCCTCACAATCAGAAAAAACTGTACCCCCGAATCCCGAGTGTTGTACCCCTAAATGAAATCAGTTGTACCCCCCGAGTTTTTGGCCTGAAACAAGGGAGCCGATAAAATTTACAGTTTTGTGGCACAACTGTAAGACATGGATTGGGTCATAAAAGCCCCATTATTCACACACAGCAACGTGTACCTTTCATATCAGTTGTGTCTTTGAAATCTGGAGAAAATAAAGAAACTGTGTCATATCAACTAGACGCAATTGTTCCTAACTATCAACTTGTCAGATCCCATCCTATTGACCATTTGCCAGTTTATGTTCAACATCAGGCTTCTTGTTTGATATCAGTCAATCTAGTAGCAACATACCACCGGTAGCAAATGATAGCTGGTAGCAATTGATCACCGGTAGCAAATGATCCGGTAGCAAATGAATATTTGCCCGACTTGCTTCATTAATCAGTCTCAATTGCCTCATCCTTTTTAACAGTGAGTTCGTTTTGTAAATGTAATCAGGTCTGTAGGCGAAAAAAAATTGCAAAAAAAGATTCTACCTTTTTAAATAAAAAAAAATGATTTTGTGAGTTGATCCACTTGTTTAAAAAAAAACAGAGACAAATGTTGCCGTCCTGCTCAATCTGCGCAAAGGTACCTTGTTTTGTCTTTTTTTCTAGTCTAAGTAGGCAAGATACATTTTTTGCTACCAATATCTAACTATAAGGAAAATCGATCAGACACATCGGGTACTCCCCTTTGATCACCATTAACTTCAAAATCAACAAATGTATTTGTTCATAATTTTCAGAAATTCTGGCCACTCTGTTGTCTATTACTCTTCGCCTCTTTCGTTTTCTCATGTAATCTATGGTCCTGTTTCTTCACAGAATCATATATTCTCTGTGAACACCGGAGACACGAATGGGATATGCTAGAGTCACCAATAGATGGAGTCATTTGCCACGTGGCAGTCAGAAGAAGTTTAAGAAGAACGGAGGTTCGTACAAAACTTCCAACTGGCTTTCAATTCGATGATGTGCTGGATATTAACGAGTTGCATCTCATAGGGTTTCAGAAGACAATTGAACTTATGTGTTGTACATCGTTAGACTGCTTATTTTAATAAATAATAAATTGTAATACAATGTGCTTCATATTTATACGGTCACATGTAGTACAGGGTGGCTAATAAGTATATGGTTTTTTGTTTTGGTGTGTCTCGGAAAAATATTGGCTTATGACATTGGAACTAAGTTTATTTTCTGATAATATGGTCTAACTTATAGAATTTGAGAATTTGAGAATCTTCAAATTCATAAATACGAATTTTGTAAATCCCTAAATTTGGAATAGACGAATCATAGAATTTCCGAATTCTAAATTTTTGTTTTTTCTAAGTTTCAAAACTTCTGAATTTCCGAATTCTCAATTTCTAGATTTCTAAGTTTCTAAACTTTTTAGTTTCTATGAGTTTTTGTACTTTTTTACAGCAAGTTTTCAATTTTCTAATATCTGAAATTTCGAACTTCTGAATTTCTGTAACTTTGATTGTTTTTAAACTCAAAATTCCACATTCCGGAGTTCGAGACTTTTAAATCTGTCAATTTTCAACTTTCCGACCTTCTGAATTTCTGAACTGTTCGAATTTTCAGAATTTCAGAACTTTAGGATTTTCAGAGTTTCGGAATTTTACAGTTTCAGAATTTTTGAGATTTGGAGTTTCGGAGTTTTCGAAATTTTACATGTCTGGATTTCTGGATTTCCAAATTGGAGAAAATGAGATTTTGAGAAGTTCAGAATTTCAAAAGTTTTTTTTTCAATTATGTTTTTGGACAACACGAAATCAATTGCTCTTTTGCTCTTTCGAAACATTCTCACCAATACTCAACTCTCAGTTCTTTTCTCACCTTTTTTTCTCACTGCCGGAAGTTGTTCCAACACTTTTCTTCTGTTTTTGTTCTCTCGATGTTCCTTTCCATATAAAACCTCTTCTTTTTCCTGATCCTTCTTTTCTAAAGCAGATCATGCAAATGTTAGAGAAAAAGAGCACATACGAGTCTCTCTTCATCTCTTTTCGTTTTCATTGTTACCACGACAACACAGCTGAAAAGTGAGAGCTCCGTTTCTCTCCTCTTTTCCTCTTTTCCTACTTTTTTTTTGACTTCCTGACATTGATCGTTCCAGATGAGTGATTTTTAAAAGTTTATTTTTATAAAAGAGTACACTTCATCAACAACTTTCATATAATTATTACCTTTCGTATCCTTTTTGCACCCTTCAATTTTCTTTTTTTTTTCTAAATTTCAAAACAAACTTCAGATGATGAACCACAGCCAGCCAACGGTTCGAATGAAACCTGATAAACAACTTGATTGTAATTTAAGTCAAGATGATGGTGTCTGGATGATGGCTTCTAGTTTTATCATTTTCACAATGACTGCTGGATTTGGATTGTTAGAATCTGGAAGGGTTTCTGCGAAGGACGAAGTCAACTGTATGGTTAAAAATGTGTTCGATGTGATATTTGGAGGTAAAGTGTAATCAGAATTTTTCAAGTTTTAATGTTTAATTCTGAAGGTCTTGCATATTGGATGTTTGGTTACGGCTTGACATTCGGGGATTCGAAACATCAATTCGGTCGATATTTTGGATTCGGAGACTTTTTCTTCGATCCTGAGAGAGTTTCAGATGATGATTCCACAGATGAGGTTGACAAGAAAAATTATAAAATTAATGCTAAATATTAATTCTTCAGAAAGGAATCTCCTACTCCCTTTTCATTTTCCAAATGAGCTTTGCAACGACAACATCAACCATAGTTTCTGGTAAGATTAAGAAATTCTTCGGATATTAAAACCTTTAATCTATTTTCTTTCAGCTGGCATGTCAGAAAGAATTCATTTAAAATCTCACTGCTTCATTTCCTTCTTTATCACAATTGTCCATTCCGTGGCTGGTCATTGGGTATGGGATCAAGAAGGAATATTTCGAACGATGGGAGTTGTTGACTCTGCTGGATGTAGTGCGGTTTGTTATTATCATTATTACTCCATAAGACTAGTAAACTATCGAAAAACCTGTATTAGAAGGGCTCTTTAATAGAAGTGCCCTCCGATAGTGGCTTAGAAAAATAGAAAGGCCCTCAGTGATGAAAGGGTCCCCGTCAAACTGTGTTGTTTGCAATGAAAATTTTCCATACGTTTTCAGTGAAAAATATTCCAGAAACTTCACAATTTCACAGAAATTCTTAACCGCCTTTTTTTTTCGTAAAAAAACTTGCTCAATTTTGATGAAATTGATAGATTTCCATAAATTTTGAATGAAAATTCGCCGGATTTTTCGATGAAAACGTTTAGAAAATTTGAGGGGCCCTCTAATTTGTCGGTCTCTGTAATAGAAGATACCTTGTAACACTATTAGAGCCGGCCCTTCTGATACAGGTTTTACGATATTCCTTTTCAGGTGCATTTAGTTGGAGGAGTATCTGGACTTGTTGCTACGTTGTACTTGACACCCAGGAGAAACCGATTTGCGAAGAATGGAATACGAACTGTCAGTGATCCAACTAAAGCTATTCTAGGGTTTTTAATGATTTGGTGGGGTTGGTTGGCGTTCAATACTTCATCGAACTATGCAGTCACCCATGGACAATGGACAGAAGGAATGAGATCTGCCGTTGGAACCATTTTAGCATCAGCTGGCGGAGGTATGATTATAAAAATAGGAGCATTGTGAATAGGTTTTATCCAGGCGTCGTGACAGTTGTAATAACTCGGATGGCAACAAAAAAGATCCAGATGGATATGTTGATCGATGGAATGCTGGCTTCTCTAGTAGCCAGTACTGGGGGATGTCTTTATTTTACACCTTGGCAAGCTACTCTGGTTGGTGCAATCGGTTCTTCTCTTGCTCTTGCCGCATACCCAGTAACTGAGTGGTTGAAAGTAAAATTGATTTGAAATTTAAATTGTGATTTTAAAAGTTTAGATCGATGATCCAGTTGGAGTGTTTCCGGTACATGTCGTTGGATCTATTTGGGGAATGATTGCTCCTGCGATTTTTGTTAAGCGAAGGCAAATGAACTTTGGACCACCTGAATGTAACTATCAAGTATGTTTTTTTGGGAAATTTTTCATCAAGTTCGCTAATTTCAGGCGAATGAAGAAGTAAACGGGTTACTGTACGGAGGAGGTTTCCAACTTCTGTTTCTACAAGCATTTGTAGTTTTTGTTATTGCAACCTACAGTGCAATTTGTTCATTCATTATTCTATTTGTATGTTTCAAAAATTGAAGTTTTGCGAATTTCCCTTTACTTTTTTCAGTTGATTCATCATTCTCCTATTGGCCTACGCGTGGATAAATATCAAGAAGAACTCGGTGCGGATCTCATTGAACACGGCCTTGCTGGTGTCAATGTAATGGCATATACCCTTGAAAAGAAGCTGGATACAAAGTAAGTTACAGAACTTTTTTAAATGAATGGCTAAATGGTTTTTTTTCAGAACTTTATCTTCCGTATTGATGATAATTGTTCGTTGGAGAGCGAAAGCAAAACTAGGAGCAATTCGAAGAAAACAGGTTCACGATAGCGGATTGGTGTCGCCAAAACCAACTGAAAATGTGGAGATGAATGTGATTCATCGGAGACATTAGATAGTTATTTTCTTGTTTTTTGAATTTGTAAATCCTGAATCCCTGTGAGTTTTTGATCACGAGTCATGAATAAATAATTCAACCGTATTTCTCAATAATTTTCCCATTTGAATCTGTGGGAACTGTTCTCCAGTTCTCATCATTTTCAAGCCGACAAAAAGACACCCACTTTTGGTTCCCATTTACTCTTTTTGCTTCTCCTCTATTCTTTTTTCGGTTCATTTCATCGTTTTGGTATCGTATGCGGACCGTTCTTCTTCTCCTTCTTTTCGCTTCGGCGATTGGTAAGTTTTGGTCTCGGCCAATCAGAGTAATAAGAGCTTTAATACTCTTTAATCCATTTTCAGAGGTGCTCTGTGAGGAGTTCTCGGAACAAGGAAAACTGAATCTGTTGAATGCTCATAATGAATACCGTTCTCGTCTCGCGCAAGGTCAACTTGTGGTTCGTGGAGTCAAGAAACCATCTGCATCTCGAATGAGGAAAATGGTAAGAATAATTGTTCCTTTCAAAGAACAGGAAATTTTACAGAGTTTTTTTTGAAATTTCGAGACATTCCCTATACTTTTAAAG